GGATGGATGGATGGATGGATGGATGGATGGATGGATGATGGATGGATGGATGGATTCCAGCAGGTTCTTCTTCTCTGACAGAAACTGAAGGATTGTCTAAATCAGTCTCCATAGAAACAGCCTAAAGCTCCGTAATCAAAACTATTCAACTTTAAAGCCAATTTAAACCAAAATAAAACAGACTTTATCAGTAATATACAGAGTTTATTTTCTCTCTTCCTCTCATTCAGGAAGTCATGGCGATGCACCTAAATCTTCTGGTTTTCAGTCATTTCAACGTTCCTGATGTTTAAAGAGGAACACTGGTCCTCAGAGGAGGTTCAGAGTCCCTGAGCCGCTGTGAGGCAGCTGCTAACCAGGCAGCCTGATGCTCTGCGAGGATCCAGGAGGACTGGCTGCAGAACACAGAGGTCCTCCCCTCTGCAGGACCCGCCACCTATGGCCCAACACCGTTCTGTCGCAGCGGTTAGTCCGTTCTCATCAGGAGCGAAGGTGGAGAGGGAAGCAGCAGGGAGGCAGAGTGGTTCTAGAGACGCTGCTTACATAAGCCAGCAGCAGAGATGAGAGGCAGCTATTTAAAACCTGGGCTGCAGCTCAGAGGAACGGTTTGGGCTGGCGGCCATCTTGGCAGACTGGGCCGGTTCTCCTGGCTGGGTGGTTACGTAACCAGGCCTGTTCTGATCCAGGTGGATGGACCGGGTTTGATCAGAGGGAGGAGTTCTGAATGGATCCTGGCAACACAGAAATGATGAATCTAGACCTGGTTTGGGTTTCAGGAGGATTCTGGATTTATGACCCGTTTACAGAAGAAGTGGGGGAGGGGTGCCCTAGCGGTTCGAATCCTGAGGTTCTGAGTTCCAGACCCACTCCCACATACTTCCACTCTGGGTCCCTGAGTAAGACCCTGTGAAGTTAGGATGCTGAGACGGAAACAAAAGGTTCAGATTTATTTAACGTCCTCAGATGAAGAGATAGAGCTCTGACTGGGCAAAGCTCAGTACATTCATTTATACAGCAATCCCATACACACACTTTCCCTTGGAAATATCCCACCCCTACATAAAGCAGTTGTTCTTTCTGCTGCTCTTCTTCACGGTGGCGCCGTTAGCGCAGTAGATCTGCTGTGAGAAGGTCCTGGCCAGGCGAGGGACGGTAGAACTGCAGCTGTTTCCATTTAAACCAAGCTACATTCTTACCTGAAGCATCTTCAAAGTTTAGTTTGGGTCTGTTACGTCCCACAAGGGTGCAACATATCAGGCGACACAAGGCAAAACTGAGGGTTCAACATTTATTTATACTGTGATCAGATTTCTACTGAGCTATTTGAGACAATTTCCAAGAAAAGATTTCCCCTAAATTCTTATCAGACCAAAACACACAGATTTAATCACAGACCCTTAAAACAATAACTTACCATAAAAAGCTCACTTTATTCTTATTTATTGATAATAATCTTGTGGTCAAATCATCAATGGGGATGGCAGCATATATTCATTACAAATTTAGCAAGGAATAAAAGCATCCATGACATTACTTAGAATTACTAAAAATATTACAAGTAAACAGAATAGTTGTGATGCAATTATATGCATGAACACATTTATGAAATGATGCCATTACAAGTGTAAAAATCTTACATATGTTAATAATCAACCATCAAGCATAATTCAATGTTTCCCACGTTTTTTGTATCTGTTTAATAAATCTTCATTGATATTTTGTTTCCAACATTCCTCCTTAGGAAACACAGCAGTCCTTCTTAGACGAAACAGCGCCACATCATGCAGTGGTCATATAGTGTATTACATCCATAGTGGTTTAGGAATACAGCGTCAGACAGACAGACAGCCTTCTTTTTTTATATAGCAAATAATCTAATAATAATTCAGTTATTATTGGTCTGATTCTGTCATATTACATATTTGCCCACAATAGCCACACAGTGCTAGCATGTAAAAAATATTTAAAGGAAAAGTCTGCATATATTCAGAATTCAAACTGCTGAAAGTTCTTTGAATGTTAAATTATTACATACTGTTCAAAAAATGATCAGTGTTTTTAATTCAGAGTAATTTTCATGTGAATGTGCTTTACTGGAGGCATCCATATTTGTCAAAAAACACTACTGCCACCTAGGGCTGGGCGATATAGAAAAAAAGCTTATCGAT